GGCAGCCATAGACATAAGATGCAACCGGGTAGACATAATATACAACCAAGTGATACAACCGGGCACGTTACATAGGAAGACACATGTGGAGCTCACAGATGTATGTTTGTGGCTGAGAACATGTACAAATAGATGAGATGCTTTGGGGGTATTCACACACACACACACACACACACACACACACACACACACACACCCCTCTGTCTATCCGGGCCTACTCTGATGTCTCTCTCCTCTGATACCCCACCCCCTCAGAGCCATTACACATCTGTGCTACAGTCAGGCCTGGGAAAGAGACACCTGACATCAGAGGCCTTGGCCCAGATGGCTAAGGGGGCAGGGGGTGGGAGCTAGGCAGCTGTCTAGATTTCAAGAAAAGTCTGTAGGGTCCTTCCCAAAGAACTAGGGTACTTTGGACAAAGAAACACATACCCACATCTACCACCTCCCCCCAGCAACTTCCTACTCTAATCACTTCCCTCCCCTCCCCTCCCAGACTCTCCAACATTGCCCAGCACAGGGCCACCAGACACGTAACAAGTGCTCAATAAATGCCACTTATTAAGTGTCATATTATCATTATTATTTTATTTCTGCCAAGTGAACTCTTCTAAGAGAGGGACTAACCTTCATCCAGCTCTCTACCCCATATCTCAGCTAAGCCTCAAGGCACTGCAAATAGCAGGTGCTCAACATGTGCTGGTAGTGGGTAAACAAAGGGAAAGGGAAATCTGACTGTGCAGGGAAGCCTGCTTTGGAAGGAACAGATGTCTTTAAACTTGACCTAGGTATTGAAGCTGTGTCAGGGATAAGAATGCTTTATTTGTTCATCACAGTAGGGCCCTTTCTCAGAGTCATTTAAGAGTTTTGTTGTTTCAGGAAAGCAGACCCTCGGGTGACGTTTGGAATTCCTATTGAATCTTTTCAAAGTCAGTTTGTCAGTCCCTCCAAGCAGACCCCTGCTTTTCATTAAAACAGGTCACTAAGCAGCCTTCAGGGGAGGGAGCAGCAGAGCCCAACAATTAACAGAGTGAGCCTTCCCAGCTCTGCCACTTTGTAGCAGTGTGGCCAGGAGCAACTGCAAGCCGACAGTTTCCATTTCCCCTAGGGCGTGATCATGCCTGGGGCCATTGGTAAGGTTGAATGAATACTGGTAAATCACTTAGAACAATGCTTGACAACATAGTAATTGCTCAATAACATATTTGTGAAAGGAGTTAATGAAGGCTACTCCTGCTGGGAAAGCAGCCTCTCATGGGTTGCATTTAGGATTCTTATCTCCCCTTTCATGCAGGCCCCCCACTGAGTAACTCTTTGGTCCCTCAATTCAGCCCCAGGGCAGCAAGGCGTTTGAGTCAGTGAATAGCCCCTACACCTGGACCACCCGCATCTTTCCCTTAAGGTGTGAGATGCTCTCCAGTACAGAGCTGGCCTGGCAGCTTCCCCTCCTTGACCTCTTCATGAGGCCATGGAGAGGACACCTTTATTCTCAGTGGGGTGTCCGGTGGGAGCTGCAGGCCGACACCCTGCTTCGGGAAGAGCCTGGGGAGTTCAGAGCCTGGTTCCTGTCCTCCTATCCCCTGGCCCTGCTGGAAGAAGCAAGTTTCTTTGCAAAAGAAAATTAAACATCCTCTTTGTGAGAGGCAAGAAAACAGGACATACAAAGCATCCCACAGGGTGAACATGTCTGCATGGGTTCCCAATGCCTGGAAGCCTCTCCTCTCAGTGGAGCAATGGCTGGTGGCTGGAATCCTTGCTTTCTCACAATTGCTTACTTCTGCAGGCAACGTGTTCCCACCACCCCCACAAGACCTTTGAGCTCCCCTTGCAAGCTCTTACTTCCTCCCTGGCTCTCAGAGGCTCCAGGAGGTGTGTCTCCATGTCTCTGTATACGTCTGTCACCTGTCTACACCTCCCAGGGCCCCAGATAATTGCAGAACACACCACTGAGGAAAGAATGAAGAGAAAAGTAACAAAAGGGTGGATTCCGCAAACATGCTCCCTAACACCCACTGTGTGCCAGGCCCTGTTCTAGGTGTTTGGGAGGTAGCAGTGAACAAGAAAGAACAGAAACCCCTGTCCAGTGAAGCTCACAGTTCTAAGGAATGATGTTTCCACTTCAGGGTCTTTGCACTTGGTGTTCCCTCTGCCTGGAGTACTCTTTCTTCAAATATTGTTAGGTCTCAGCCCAGAGTCACCTCCTCAGAGAAGACTTCTCTGAAACATAACGGAAAAAAACAACTCAATTCCTCTCCATGTCTTTCACCCTACCTTATTATTCTTCATAGCTTTTTTACCACCTGATAGAGCATTAGATATTTACATATTTGATAGTATGTTTAGCCCTGGCCTGCTGCTCAGTGGTTAGAGCATGGGTTGGATTCCCGGTCAAGGGCACCTATCTCAGGTTGCAGACCCAATCCAGCCCCTAGTCAGGGCACATGTGGGGGACAACCAATTGATGTGTCTCTCATGTGGATGTTTCTTTCTATCCTCAGGTGAGGATTTTTTTAATGGTATATTTATATTTAGTACAGTTATTTTAGTAAGTAAATGTATTAGATACTAGCATATTTATGCTGTACATGTATTTTACATATACACTATACAAAATGCATAAATATATGGTATTGTGTATTTTCTTATATTTACATATAGTAGCATATTTATACTTATGTTTGATTAATAATATGTAACATATACTAGCAAATATTATGTCACTATATTTCTATATAATCACATACATATTAAATAGCATATATGTTTATATACCTAATATATATATTTCAGTACAAGCAGTCCTCAAATAACATCCTTTTGTTCAATGTTGTTTTGTTATGCCATTGATGAGGGAAAAGAAGTCAATTCTGATCGGGGCCATTATGTGGCATTCACATGTTCTCCCCATGTCTACATGGGTTTTCTCCAGGACTCCAGTGTCCTCACACATCCCAAAGATATGCAATTGTCCCAAAGTGAATTAGTGTGGATGTGTATGTGAGTGCATCCTGTAATGGAAGGGCATCCTGTCCAGGGTTCGGTCTTACCTTCCACCCTGAGCTATTGAGATAGGCTCTAACCACTATGACCCTGAACTGGAATAAGTGGGTTAGAAAATAAGTATTTTACTTGTTTTTATTAATCTTTCTTTTATTATTATTGTTAATCTTTCTCAAATGTATGCATAGCTTACATTTATTTCAATGTTTAATATTACAAGTGTTTGGGATCTTTGTTTTAGAAGTTTGATCTTTATTTTCAGGATTGATACTTTTGCTGTAGAAACTTAATTCTTGTTATATCAATTAGTTTATGGTAAAATTGGTTTTGTTCATTAGATGTCATTTCACTTAAAGTCCCAGTTTCCAAAAACATATTTACAATGTTAAGGGAGGACTTACTATACATCCTCCCTTGTCTCCGTTTCCTCATCTATAAATTGGGGATAATTACAGTAACTTGCTCATATGGTTGTTATAAGGATTAAAATGAGCTCAAGGAAAGGATTTAGCACTGCTCTGGAATCTACTTGTACAGATTACTTGATCAATTTTCAGTAATTTTGTGAACTGGTTGTTAAACACAGCTGCTATTAAAAACAAAATGATATAAACTTACAATTAAATAAATTATGTATTTTTAAAGATGATAAATACTCAAAACTCATCACTTATTTTATTACAGTTCACGATTCTCTATGCTCTTGGGGTTATTTACCCCCTATTTTAACTGTAAGATAAAAATATTACATAATGGTGCACTTCAGTGTTCCGTGACAACATATTGGTAACTTGAAATCTAGCAAGATGACAGTTGTGTAAACCATGGAAATTGGCAAATGTTTGAAATCAGGGCTTCCTCCCTCTCTCCCCTCAAATAGTTGGTTGTTAACCATTTACCAGCACAGCACTGAAAGCACTTAGAATAGTGCCTGGCACATGGTAAACTGTATAATAAATGCTTCCATTATATTTGCCTTTGCACTGGTGGGGATGTATAGGGGTTTTTTTGTTTTTTGTTTTTTGTTTTTTTGTGGGTCGGAGTTAAGAATGTTTGAAGAACACAGAATTACACAAGGCTAGTGTGTAGTTATGCCCTAGGCCTGTAACCTCTTTATGGAAAGGTTTTAAGCCAGTCCTGTCCATTATTTTTGTGCATCTAGATTAACACACCTTTGAAATATCAGCAGTAATACCCTCCAAAGGGGGCATAACCATCAGAGAAGACATAACCTTAACTAGCCTGTAATCCAATCCCTGCCTTGCTGTCTCCAATTTTCCATGTATGCTTTCTCCTTAATTTCAAATGCATAAAGGAAGCTGCAAAACTGTTATCCTCGCCGAAACCGGTTTGGCTCAGTGGATAGAGCGTCGGCCTGTGGACTGAAGGGTCCCAGGTTCGATTCCGGTCAAGGGCATGTACCTGGGTTGCGGGCACATCCCCAGTGGGGGGTGTGCAGGAGGCAGCTGATCGATGTTTCTCTCTCATCGATGTTTCTAACTCTCTATCTCTCTCCCTTCCTCTCTGTAAAAAATCAATAAAATATATTTAAAAAAAAAAAAAAAAAAAAAAAAAAAACTGTTATCCTCAGGAACATTTGAGATCTTGCTCCCCCAGCATATGTTGTCAGTTTGGCTCAAATAAACTCTTATAAAATCCTCCACAGGTGGAGACGTTTCTTCTGTGAATAGGTATTTATTCTTCCCAATAACTCTGTGAAATCGGTAGTACTTATTTCCCCATTTCACGGGTGGAGAAACTGAAGTTCTAAAATGGGCAGCATCACGTTGAGGAAGTGAAATGCAAAACTGCTGCGGAGCTAATGCACTTTAACCCACATTCCCTCCTCCCCCGCCTACCTCCCAGCCTAATTTCACTTCGCAGCATTTTGGGAAATGTAGTCCACGCACCGCCCACTGAGAAGGAAGGAGCGAGGAGAAAATCGATCTTAGCCTTGGGACAAAAGAACAAAGGCAGTTTACACGTCAGCTCGCATGCGCGAGTTCAGCAGATTTGGTCATGCCCTTTGCATGCTGGGAACCGCAGTTCTCCCGTCCAGCTACGTAGACACAAGGTGACGGGACACGCGCTGTAAGTTCGGGTTGGTCCGGACCTCCCGGGAGCCTCCGCATTCCACGATGACAGGATTGCCCCGCTGCAGTAGCCCGCATGCGTGCGCGATTGGCTTTCAGAGCAACTAAGAACAGAAACTGAAGCGCTACGATTTCTCACCGGTTTGAGTCGGGCTGCTGGCGGACCGGACTCTCGTGTCCCGCTCCTCCCCACTTCGAAAGCTACAGTAGTAGGCCCTGGGGCACGGAGGACAGTTGAGGCACGACTGCATCGTCCCGCCAGCGAGGGAAGGAGAGAAGTTCGCCCTCGTCGCTGCAGCTAGTAGTCTGGCCGGCTGACACCCGGGAGGCTGCAGACCCAGGGTTGGTGAGTAGAAGGGGACTACGATCGCGGGGTGGGCTGGGGTAGTCAGGGGTCCAGAGATCAGCGGATCCGCCTTGAGGGGGATCTGAAGGCCCCAGTAGGCACATGGTCTTTGAGTTAATATAGAGGAGGGAACGGTGGTGTGACCAGAGGGCTGTTCATTGGGGCAGGTATGAGTGTACGGAGCTCTGGTGGGGATATGATGGGGGAAATCAATAGGGGCTAATGGTCGACACGTTCATGGGGGCCAATAGGGGTGTGCTCATTGATTAATGAGGAGGTGCTAGAGTGAGCAACTAGAAGATAATGGAAGGCAAATGGGGATGTGATACCTAAGGCAGCGGTTCTCAACCTGTGGGTCGCGACCCCTTTGGGGATCCAACGACCCTTTCACAGGGGTCGCCTACGACCATCGGAAAACACATATATAATTATATATTGTTTTGTGATTAACCACTATGCTTTAATTATGTTCAATTTGTAACAATGAAAATACATCCTGCATATCAGATAACAGTAGCAACATTACAGTTATAAAGTAGCAACGAAAGCCAAAACCGGTTTGGCTCAGTGGATAGAGCGTCGGCCTGCGGACTGAAAGGTCCCAGGTTCGATTCCGGTCAAGGGCATGTACCTGGGTTGCGGGCACATCCCCAGTAGGAGATGTGCAGGAGGCACCTAATCGATGTTTCTAACTCTCTATCTCTCTCCCTTCCTCTCTGTAAAAAATCAATAAAATATATTTTAAAAAAATAAAGTAGCAACGAAAATAATTTTATGGGTGGGGGTCACCACAACATGAGGAACTGTATTAAAGGGTCGTGGCATTTAGGAAGGTTAAGAACCACTGCCCTAAGGGATTGATGCTTAATGAAGAGTGGTGGGGCATAGTAATTGAAAAGATAATGGTGAGGCTGTGCAGGGAATAATAGAGCCCAGTGGGGGTCATGATCAAGGAACTAAAGGAAGCAGTGGTCAAGAAGAGGAAATGAGAGACGAACAGGTGTTGTAGTCAAAGGCTTTTAATGGGTGATCATGGCATGATCATTGAGGAATTAATGGTAATTGAGCAAAGAAAGGGTAATAGTAAGGTGTTGGGAGGTGATCATCAAGTCATTATTGGGGGGGCAAAATGTGCAGTGAGGGGAGAATGGGAAACTGATCATCCAGGATTAACATGAGTGTGTGGTAATGAAGGAATTACAAGCTACCAATGGTGTGATCTATGAGAGATCAATTGGAGGGCTGAATTAATGGGGGCTGATAAATCATAACAATTGAGAACTTAATGGGAACTAATAGGCCATGATCCCCCAGGCATCAATGGGTGTTGATAATGATGCAGTAATAAAGGAATTACTGGGGACCTAATCATTTCAGGGATTAATAAAGAGTTTGGTAGGGAGAGAGCTATTAAGGAGGTGGGGAGTACAATGATGTAGTATTAATATAAGGGTTATGAAAGCAAGGGATTAATGAGGGGCTAACAGGGCTATATTAATCTAGGGGCAATGAGGACATCTGGGGAGACAGTGATGTGTTAATGGGGATAAGGTGGGCAGAGAAGGGTTGATAGTCTCGGGTGTAATATGTGGAGTGTGGGTAACAAGAGTGGAGGTTGACAGGATCAGTAATGATTCATCTATGAGATAAGTTTGGGTTTTGGGGGATCTGTGTGGTGAGTGGTGGAGCCTAGGTTCAGTCTGGAGTTGTTCAGGCTCTGTGAGGTCAGTGGGATCGGTGACTGGGTTCCAGTCTTCTGATCTGCTGAGTGAGCTATCACATGGGTCAGATGAGCCCAGTGTGGTTTCACTGACCTACAGACACAGGTGGTGGTCCACTCACCCAGTTACTGATACAGGATGGCATCAACTTACTGTTGGCAGGTCCCTGGGCAAACAGTGTACGAGATGGGACGGACGTCGAAGGACAAGCGGGATGTCTACTACCGCCTGGCCAAGGAAAATGGCTGGCGTGCCCGCAGTGCCTTCAAGCTGCTACAACTCAATGAGGAATTCCAACTCTTCCAAGGTCCCCACCTGGCAGGAGAATCACTGGGGGATGGGGCAGGCACAGGGAACAGACAAATGAACTAGGTCTGCCGAGCGATCTGTGGTGGGTGGGCTAACTTGAAGGGTCTGTGAGGCAGGGGCCAAACAGGAAGGTGTGCAGATACTCAAGAAATCACGCCGAGACCGGTTTGGCTCAGTGGATAGAGCGTCGGCCTGCGGACTGAAGGGTCCCGGGTTTGATTCCGGTCGGGGGCATGTGCCTGGGTTGCGGGCATATCCCCAGTGGGGGATGTGCGGGAGGCAGCTGGTCGATGTTTCTCTCTCATCGATGTTTCTAACTCTCTATCTCTCTCCCTTCCTCTCTGTGAAAAATCAATAAAATATATCTTAAAAAAAAAAAAAGAAAGAAATCTTGGGTCCTGGGCAGAAGAGAGATGTGGGAGCTCCCAAGGGGAGAGGGATGAATTTTGCAGGGTCCCGGGTTGGAGCAGTAGGTGCATCTGACACTACACCTTCCTGTGTGCTCAGGTGTGACACGGGCAGTTGACCTGTGTGCAGCCCCGGGCAGCTGGAGCCAGGTGCTGAGCCAGAAGATTGGGTGAGTGTGGAGTCCCAGATGGGGGGTTCCTGGAGGGCAGGCTAGGTGGGGGGCGGGCCAGGAGTGAAAACTGGGCTGACATGGGTCGTGTTGTCCACAGGAGTCCACAGGGGTCCGGCCATGTGGTGGCTGTGGACCTTCAAGCTATGGCTCCACTACCAGGTGTGTTACAGATCCAGGGGGACATCACCCAGGTAAGAGCATGGCTGAGGGTGTGGGAGGTGTTTCCTGGGTGAAGATCCTCTCACCTGGGGCCTACAGAAAGTGGAAGAGACAGAGAAACAGACTGAGAGAGACAGAAATAAAGTAACCGAGAGAACCAGAGAGAGTGTGACAGGGAAGCAGAGAAACAGAGCCAGCAGGCTGTCATCCCAGAGAGCTGGCAAAAAATTATGGGACTGGGTCCTCAGAGACAGAGTGTGGTCTTAGACAGGCAAAGCATGAGCATTTGTCTGACTCTGGGCCTGTGGGCCAGGGCCATGGACAGGTGGGGTCAGATGGCCACAGCGTGCGGGGACCTTGGGGCTACTCATCTGCCCTCTCTTTCATAGCTGTCCACTGCCAAGGAGATCATCCGGCACTTTGAGGGCTGCCCCGCGGACCTAGTGGTGTGTGACGGGGCTCCCGATGGTAAACAAGGGTTGGGAGACCAGGTTGGGGGGGGGGGGTCCCATGTGTGTCTTTCTGTATTTCCCATTTTGTTGGCTTTTTTCCCCAAGTCAACTCCCTGCCTCTCTCCTCCTCTGTCAGCTGTTTCCTACATCTGGCAACTTCTCCCAACATCTGGATAGGGAAGGTTTCACTGAAGTTATGGCAAAGACCTAAAGGTGCTCTGTGCCTCCATCTTCTCCCTCCTCACACTCTACCACTTCAGTTTTGTCTGTTGTCCACAGTTCCCTCCTTTCATATCTTGTCTCTCTTCTCTCTGCAGCTCTCCAATCTACCTTCCTGCCCATTCATTCTTGTCATTCAGTCAATCATCCATTCAACACACACTTACTGAGCATCTATTGTGTGTCGGGCACTGTTCTACATTTTGGGAAAACATTTGTGAATAAAAGTGCACTAAGCTCTGACCTCATAGAACTGGTGTTCTAGTGGGAACAGATAGAAAAGAAACATGATTGAGCTCTGTGGCATATCAAAAGGTGATAGGCACCATGGGGAAATCAATGAAAAGGGGGAACGGGAGTACCTATTGGAATATTAAATAAAGTGGATAGGGAAGGTTTCACTGAAGTTATGGCAAAGACCTAAAGGTGAGAGAGTGGGCCAGAGGCATGCCTGGAGAAAGAACAATCCAGGCAAAAGGACCAAGCTGTACAAAGGCCCTGGGGTGAGAGGGTGCTTGGTGTGTGTGAACACCAGTGTGGTTGGATCAGAGTGAGGAGAGTGGCAGGAGGTGAGGTCATGAGGTGACAAGAGGACAGATCCTTGTGTGGATCCTTAGGGGCCACAGTAAGAACTTTGACTTTTTCACTGAGATGAGAACTCAGAGAAAACCATGAGAGGGTTATGAGCAGTGGAGGGCCATGCCTGACGCTGGGTTGTGACGGGATTCCTCTGGCTGCTGTGAGCAGTGTGAGGGGCGAGGATGTAAGCCAAAGGGCCTGGGGAGGAGGAGGCCATTGCAATAGTCCAGGTGAGTGATGACAGCAGTGATGAGAAGAGGGTCAGTTCAGGAGATCTTTTGAAAGTAGGGCCGACAGGATTTACAAATGGCTTGAATATGAGTGTGAGGAGAGAATGGAGCTTGTCAAAGGTAACTAAGGTTTTTGGTCTGAACAACTGGCAGGATCAGATGAGACAAGGGAAGATGGTGAGAGAAAGAGGTTTGGGTAGGAAGGGCAAGAGTTTGGTTTTGGACAGCTCAAGTCTGAGATGTCAACTCTGATCTGAGTCTGGCATTTAAGAATCTGAACTGGAGGTTAAAAAATGATGATAAAAATGCCGATAAGGTTGTTTTGAGAACTAAAATGAGCTCCTAGGGGTTAGGAGCTCAAAATGTGCATCTAGTTGAAAAATATTAATTTGCATGCAGAACCTTAGCAATAAGAGAGCCTGGGAAATGTTTTTAGCCTTCTAACCTCTCTGGGACAAGAAGATAGCTAGAACTGGATGCCCCCTGCCCCTAATGCCGTTCCTCTTGCCGCAGTAACTGGCCTCCATGATGTTGATGAGTATATGCAGGCCCAGCTTCTCCTAGCCGTGAGTAACCCTGGCTGCCCTTGCCTCCGTTTGGCCCCCTCCTGGCTATCTCTACCTCAGCCTTAGCTATCTGTCCTGTCCACAGGCTCTGAACATTGCTACACATGTCTTGAAGCCAGGGGGCTGCTTTGTAGCCAAGGTAAGCCTTGGGAAACCTAGTGGGGGACAGAGATGGGTCCCTGAGGGTCGCCCTCATGCTTCCATCTCTGCCTCTCCACCCTGCAGATCTTCCGAGGCCGGGATGTGACACTGCTCTACAGTCAGCTGCGTGTCTTCTTTTCCAACGTGCTCTGTGCCAAGCCTAGGAGCAGCCGGAACTCCAGCATCGGTCAGTGGGGCGGAAGGGCTGGGCAGTCAATGCCACCTCAGGGACATGTCCTGCCCCGAGGTGGAGATGACAGTCGCCCCTCACTCTACTTTTCACCCACAGAGGCCTTCGCTGTCTGTCAGGGTTATGACCCCCCTGAGGGCTTCCTGCCAGACCTGACCAAACCCCTGCTGGACCACTCTTACGGTGAGAGCCAGAGCCTTGTGCTAGTCCCTGGGGAGACTGTCCCCTTTGGAATTTATGTCTCAGGAGGACTCTCAGCCTCACCCCCTGGTAGAGACTCTGTCCCTAATGGGAATTCTGTCACTAGAGCAGTGATGGCGAACCTATGGCACGCGTGTCAGAGGTGACACGCAAACTCATTTTTTTGGTTGATTTTTCTTAGTTAAATGGCATTTAAATATATAAAATAAATATCAAAAATATGTCTTTGTTTTACTATGGTTGCAAAGATCAAAAAATTTCTATATGTGACACGGCACCAGAGTTAAGTTAGGGTTTTTCAAAATGCTGACACGCCGAGCTCAAAAGGTGCGCCATCACTGGCCTAGAGACTCAGCCCCACCCTCTGGTGGAAATCCCCACCACCACCACCATATGGATATTATATCCCAGGAGGATCTTCAGCCCAGTCCTCTAGCGATAACTGGGAATAACTACTCTTGGACCTGGTGAAATTCTGTCCCAGGAAGGTCTGAGCTCTGCCCCAGCTGAGACACCCACCTAAGGAGATTATAGCCTAGGAAGATTCAGTCACATCCCCATGTGGAAACCCTATGAGGTTCCACATGGAATTTTGCCCCATGAGGTTCTTACGCCTGGCTATTTTTTTAGAGAGAGGCAGGGAGAGGGATACAGATATAGAAACATCGATGAGAGAGAAATATCGATTGGCTGCCTCCTGCTCGCCGCCTACTGGGGACTGTGCCTGCAACCCAGGCATGTGCCCTGACCAGGAATCGAACCATGACCTCCTGGTTCATGGTTGATGCTCAACCACTGAGCCACACCAGCTGGGCTCACCTAGCTCTTTGTGGGAAAGGGCACAGAGCCTACTCATGTAGCAAGCATGATTGAGTGAGACAAGGTTCAGGCTGTATATGATAGAAAGGCAGATAGACATAAAAGTGCAGTGTGAAAAAAAGCAGTGGGGCTGATATTTTAGAGAGGTGATCATGGAGGTCCTCCCTGAGAAAGTGATCTGAACCAAATAAAGGATTTCCGGTGGAGGAGGGTGAGAGTAGCTGGTGGATAAATGGGGAGGCCTCGGTACCCATGCTGCAGCCCAATTCATAACTGATCCCAGGCATCCCAGCCTTGTCCTTGTCCTTGTCCTGTCTTATTTCTCCCTGCTTGTCAGATCCAGATCTCAACCAATTAGATGGACCCACCCGCATCATTGTTCCATTTGTGGCCTGTGGGGACCTGAGCTCCTATGATTCGGACCGCAGTTACCCACTGGACGTGAGTGCCCAACTGACAGTAGGCAGATGGAGGGGGGTGCTCTCCTAGGTTCCCAGATCCTCACCATCTTCCCGCTATGTGTCCCTGCAGCTCGAGGATGGCTCGGAGTACAAGTACATGCCGCCCACGCAGCCCCCCATCTCGCCGCCATACCAGGAAGCCTGCATGTTGAAGAAGAAGGGGCGGCTGGCTAAGGAGATCCGCTCCCAGGACTGCCCCATCAGCACAGTGAACACATTGCTCCAGCCCCTGGCTGCCCCACAGCGCCACACCCTGATGGCCTCTGAGGTCTGGAAACATGGCCCAGGCCACTGCTGTGCCCTTTCTCTGTGTCCATAGTGACCCTTCCCAGTACTCCTCTTTCTGCCCCCAAATCATGTGGCTTCTGGGGTCAAAATTCTCTTCCCTGCCTCCCAATAGCTGTAAAATTCAATGGGTAAAACCAACTACAATGAATGGAAAAGCTTAGCCAAACATCTGAGACTCTTTTCTTTTTCTTGAGTAGGTGGAAGACAGTGGAATGAATTGTTCAGCTTAACACATCAAGGTAAATCTGCCTTTTTATCTAAGAGTTTGAGTAAAGGACACCTTTAAGAAAAAGATCAGCCAAAACCGGTTTGGCTCAGTGGATAGAGCGTCGGCCTGCGGACTGAAAGGTCCCAGGTTCGATTCTGGTCAAGGGCATGTACCTTGGTTGCGGGCACATCCCCAGTGGGAGATGTGCAGGAGGCAGCTGATCGATGTTTCTCTCTCATCGATGTTTCTAACCCTCTATCCCTCTCCCTTCCTCTCTGTGAAAAATCGATAAAATATATTAAAAAAATAAAATAAAATATAAAAAAAGAAAAAGATCAGTAAAATTTCACCTTTGATAATTTTTACATCAACTGATATTTCATTCAGCAAACCTTTACTAAGCATCTGAAATTGTATGTCAGGAACTGCTTTAAGCATTTTACATATTACATATTGAGGCATTCGGTAAACATTAAACCTGTACTGTGTGCTGGGCATTGTTCTAGGTTTGGAGGTAGAGTGGGGAAAACAGGGAAATACCATCGCCCTGGTAGAGATTCTAGATTGGGGAAGAGGTAATAAATAAAATGGTCTGAATACAGGAGTTGCCCTCCACACACACACACACACACACACATAAATACACACTTATAGCTTGCATTTCACTATGTATTTATATAGCCTGCATTGTAATATAATGTGTTTTATATAGACATCTATAATAATAAAAGCGTAATATGCTAATTAAACCAGACGTCCTTCCAGACGATCTTCCAGACGAAGCCGGGCTGCGAGGGAAGCCCGAGTCCTGGGTGCCTGCTGGCAGCCAGAGGGAAGCCTGGGACCCAGGTGCCAAAGGGAAGCCGATGCCAGCAGCCGGGAGAAAGAAGGCTTACTCTTTTTTAAAAAATATATATATATTTTATTGATTTTTTTACAGGGAGAAAGGAGAGGGATAGAGAGTTTGAAACATCGATGAGAGAGAAACATCGATCAGCTGCCTCCTGCACACCCCCTCCTGGGGATGTGCCCACAACCAAGGTGCATGCCCTTGACCGGAATCGAACCTTCAGTCCACAGGCTGATGCTCTATCCACTGAACCAAACTGGTTAGGGCAAGAAGGCTTACTCTTGCATGAATTTTGTGCTTCGGGCCTCTAGTATTTTATATATAATGTGTAAAAGTAATATTGGCCCGGTCGATGTTGCTCAGTGGTTGAACATTGGTCCCTAAACCAGGAGGTCACAATTAGATTCCCAGTCAGGGCACATGCCCAAATTTTGGGCTACATCCCCAGTAGGGGGCATGCAGGAGGAAGCCGATCAATGAGTCTCTCCCATCATTGATGTTTCTCTCTCTCTCTCTCCCTCTCCCTTCCTCTCTGAAATCAATTATATATATGGATATGAAAAAAGTTAAAATAAATCAAGGTAAATAGAATCAGGAATTCTGGGGGTGGCAGTGTGCACTTTCTAAAAGTGTTGGCATGGAAGGCCTCACTGCGGTAACGTTTGAGTGGAGACCTGAAGGAGAGGAGGGATGGAATCCATGTATCTATCTAGGGAGAGCATTCCAGGGAGAGGAAATAGCAAATGCAATGGCCCTGAGGCGGAACTGTGCCTGGTGTGCAAGGGAGCAGTGAGGGGCCAGTTTACCTGTAACAAAGTGGGCCAAACCTGTCAGTGCCAGAGTTTCTCATCCTGAGGCCCTCAAGTTCAGGGACATCCCTTTCTGACAATGGCTTATAAATAAGTACTGAAATTTCCTAGCTGGCACTATTTATAGTACCCCCGGACTAGAAACAGTGCAAACATCCATCAACTGAAGAATGGGTCGTTAGCCCGGCTGGGTGTGGCTCAGCAATTGAGCATCGACTCAGGAACCAAAAGGTCACTGGTTTGATTCCCAGTCAAGGCATATGCCTGAGTTGCAGGCTCCATCCCCAGTAGGGGCCATGCAGAAGGCAGCCAATCAATGATTCTCTCTCTCTCTCTTCTCTCTCTCTGAAATAAATTAAAATAAAAAGAATGGTTTATTAAATCATGGTTTATTCATGGCAGAGCAATATCGGTAATGAGAATGAACATCCTACAATTATATGAAATAAGACCCTACTATTACTCATTAAATGGAACATATATATGTTTTATGCATTTTTCTGTATGTCACTGTTTATAATAAAAGTAGGGAGTAGCCCTGGCTGGTTTGGCTCAGTGGATAGAGCATCAGCCTGCAGACCGAAGGCTCCCAGGTTTGATTCCCATCAAGGGCACATGCCTGGGTTGTGGGCCAGTAGGGGGCATGCAAGAGGCAGCCAATCAATGATTCTCTCTCATTGATATTTCTGTCTCTTCCTCTCCCTTCCTCTCTGAAATTAATAAAAACATATTTTAAAAAATAAAAGTAGGGAGGAAACTTGACAAAAAAATGTTAGTAGCCAGGTAAACAATGATTAAGTAGAAGAAAGTAGGGAAATGCATTTTTTGTTTAAAACTTTTTCTTTAACCTTTTAATAGCTGGCAGTCTGTGACAACTTGGAAGCTGTTTGCTGTCAGGAGAACCAGAACTTGTGTTCATGAACTTGTTTTTCAAATATCTCGTCACTGGGTTCTGAACACAAGCTTCGAGTGGGAATCTGCAATGACCACCATGAACACAGCCAGGAATGAAACATCATGGAAAGTTCGTTTGAACCACAGAAGGGGTTCTTGACTGAAATCTTGCCTGTTCTCTGAATCTTCCCAGCGGTATCAATGAATATGATGGAGGAAAATAGTACATCTTTATTTTCACTAATATAACTAAAATTTAGTTTTATTCCCAAATATGAATTTCTAGCAGTAAATCATGGTTATAAAAGCAGTGCCTGTGACTTTCCTGACAAACCAAATCAAATCAGTTCATTTTTATAGTAGGGTTTATGGGCATCATGAAATATTGTTCACGTTTGTCACTAATTGGAATCATGGGATATCTTATAATTTGATTTACTAATAAAAATGCCATATATTATTACATCCCAATGTTGTTTCATTTTAATATAGATGGCAGCCCTGGCCGGTGTGGTACAGTGATTAGCATTGACCCGAGCACCACAGGGGCATATATCTGAGTTGTAGGTTCACTCCCCACCCCCAGTTGGGGTGCGTGTGGGAGGCAGCCAGTTGATGTTTCTCTCTTACATTGATGTTTCTCCCACTCTGAAAAGCAATGGAAAAAATATCCTCAGGTAAGGACAAAAAAAAATTAATATGGATGGTCATAATTTTTCCAGTTTCATTGAGATATAATTGACATGAATTTAAAGTGTGCAACATAATGATTTGATATGTATGCATATTGTGAAATGTTCGCCACATAGTTTATTGTGAAATGTCACCTCACATAGTTAATTTTTTTTTCCTCTGATGGGTATTTTTAAGATCTCTCTTGGCAACTTTCAAATGCACAATGCCATATTATTTTTTTAATTTCTTTTTTTATTTCAAAGGAAGGGAGACGGATAGAGAGATAGAAACATCAGTGATGAGAGAGAATTATGGGTTGGCTGCCTCCTGCACACCCCCACACTGGGGATCAAGCCGACAACCCAGGCAAGTGCCCTGACCAGGAATTGAACCGTGACCTCCTGGTTCATGGGCCAACGCTCAACCTCTGAGCCACACTGGCCGGGCCACAATACCATATTATTAACTATAGTCACCATGCTATACATTACATCCACATGACTTATTTATAACTGGAAGTTTGTACCTTTTAACCATTCACCCATGTCTCTTACCCCACCCCCACCTCTGGCAACCACCAATCTGGTCTCTGTTTCTCTGAGTTCATTTTTTTAAATATATTTGATTGATTTTTACAGAGAGGAAGAGAGAGGGATAGAGAGTTAGAAACATTGATGAGAGAGAAACATCGATCAACTACCTCCTGCACACTCCCCACTGGGGATGTGCCCGCAACCAAGGTACATGCCCTTGACCAGAATCGAACCTGGGACCCTTGAGTCTGCAGGCTGACGCTCTATCCACTGAGCCAAACCAGTTAGGGCTGAGTTCATTTTTTAAAGATTCCACATATAAATGAAATCACCTGGTTTTGGTCTTTGTCTGACTTAGCTCCCTAATCCTAACCCTCAAGGTCCATCCATATTGTCACAATGGCAGGATTTCATTTTTTATGGCTGTACGTTCTAGCAATCAGTTCATAGGAGTGAAATTGGCATACATGCAGCTTTAATATCTCATTGTATTCATACACTACATTTTCTGTATTAATCCATCCGTTGACAGACACATAGGTTGTTTCCATATCTTGTCTGTTTTGAATAATGCTGCTGTGAACATAGGGGTGCAGATATCTCTTTGAGATAGTGTTTTCATCTCCTTTAGATAAATACAAGAAGTGGGATTCCTGGATCATATGGTAGTTCTATTTAACTTTTTGAGGAACCCCTGTACTATTCAATTGGTTTCATAGCAATCTTTTGTATCTGAGTGTGTTTTTGCATGTGCATGCTGTGTGTGTGTGTGTGTGTGTGTGTGTGTGAATTCTCACCTGAGAATATTTTTTCCATTGGTTTTTAGAGAGAGTGGATGGAAGAGAGGGAGGGGGAGAGAGGGAGAGAGACACATTGATTCGTTGCTTCCTGCACATGCCCCAACCAAGACCAGGAATCAAACCTGCAACCCATTGGTGAGCGGGTGGACACTCTAACCACTGATCATACTGGCCAGGGCTGCATGTGTATGCTTTTTAAAATATTCTTTTAATAGGTCCACAGATCAGACCTGTAGAGTATTATGCTAAGCAAAATAAGCCAATGAGAGAAAGCATCACATGATCTCACTCATATGTGGAATCTAATGAACAAAATAAACATGAACAAAATAGATCCAGAGACATGGAAGCACGGAACAGAATGTGGAATCTCAGAGGGAAGGCAGGGGAGGGTGGGTAGGTAGGAAGAGAGCAACTAAAGACCTTGTATGCATATATGCATAAGCCATGGACACAGACAATAGGGTGGTGAGGGCCTGGGGCAAGAAGGGGGGCTAGAAGGGGTCAATGGGGGGGAAAAGGGAACATATGTAGTACTTTCAACAATAGAGATTTAATTTTTTTTAAAAAGAGGTCCACAGATTTAATTAGATGTCAAAGGGTTCCACAGAATTTTTATGTTATATCTCTTCTCTCAAGGAAATGTCAGATAGCCTGTCTTGACTGCAGTCTTCAATTTCTATAGTTTAGCAAACAGCAGCTGACAAACTCATCAGCTACCCAGATAGAACTGGTTTCTGCAACTCACTTCCGTATCTTTTTTTTTTTTTAATATAGTTCATTGATTTCAGAGAGGAAGGGAAAGGGAGAGAGAATAAAAACATCAATGATGAGCCCTGGCTGGTTTGGCTCAGTGGATAGAGTTTCTGATTGTGAACTGAAGGGTCCCTGGTTCTGGTCAAGGCACATGCCCGGTTGCGGGCTCAACCCCCAGTAGGGGGCATGCAGGAGGCAGCCGATCAATGATTCTCTCTCATCATTGATGTTTCTATCTCTCTCCTGCCGGGGTCCAGCCCCAGCAGTCCAGGGGTTCCCAAAGGTGTGGACAGAGTCGGTGAAGAATAAAGGACATGGAGACAGTGTTCAGATGATCAGCATAGCCAGGTTCTCTATTCTAGGTGTCTCCGTGGATCTCCTGTGCCTGGCTGAGGCCACAGAGAGATCCAGAGGCAAGCTGAGCCTTTATTTTATAGTCAGATGTAAACAAGCAAGTGGTTACCATAGTTACACTGTTCTTGTGAATTTCACTTGTTTTGGCCACTTCCTGCACCTCCCTCAGCCCATTAGCTTCCCAGATGAGATCTAGGGAGCATTATAAGGTCAAGCCTAATTATGCTAAGAGGGCTGTGCCCTCTAAGCTGGGACTTGTTTGTGACTTTGCCAACAGGTCAGTACGAGGCTTAACCCTATAGCTGCTCCCACACTCTCCCTTTCGCTTCCTCTCTGAAATCAATAAAAATATATTTAAGAAAGAAAGAAAGATGATTGATGAGAGAGAATCATTGATCAGCTGCCTTCTGCATGCCCCCTACTGTGTACTGAGCCCACAACTTGGGCATGTGCCCTGACCAGGAATTGAACCATAACCTCCTGGTTCATAGATCAACACTCAATCACTGAGGCACGCCAGCCCAGGCTCACTTCCATATCTTTTGAAACTCACCTTCTGCCCAGCCAGTGTAGCTCAGCAGTTGAGCATCCACCCAAGTACCAAGAGGTCACCAGTTCAATTCCTGGTCAAGGCACATGCCGGAGTTGTGTGAGGGAGCTGATCGATGATTCTCTCTCATTGATGTTTCTCTCTCTCCCTCTCCCTTCCTTTCTCTCTAAAAAAATCAATAAAAACATTTTTTTAAAGAAACTCACCTTCTTTGTCCACACCACAGTCCAGTGACCTCAGGATTCCCTACATCCCAGTCTGTGACCCTAATTGTTTCTGCACCTGACTGTGTGACCCTAGGAGTGTCTGTACCAAGTCTCTGTAACCCTTGGGTTGGGGGACACACCACAGAGTGTTAACCCAGGATTCTTCCCACCCAAGTCATTGTGACCACGGGGAAGACATGACAGAAGAGTCCACACAAAAGGCTCTATGGCCCTAGCCAGTTTAGCTCAGTGGCTAGAGCGTCGGCCTGCGGACTGAAGGGTCCCAGGTTTGATTCCGGTCAAGGGCATGTACCTTGGTTGTGGGCACATCCCCAGTAGGAGATGTGCAGGAGGCTGCTGATTGATGTTTCTAACTCTCTATCCCTCTTCCTTCCTCTCTGTAAAAAAATCAATAAAATATATTTTTTTTAAAAAAAAAAAGGCTCTGTGACCATGGGAGTATCCATACCCATGACTATAAGAATCCAGCAGTGTCAACACTACAGTCTATGACAGTGATGGCGAACCTATGACACGCGTGTCAGAGGTGACACACGAACTCATTTTTTTGGTTGATTTTTCTTTGTTAAATGGCATTTAAATATATAAAATAAATATCAAAAATATAAGTCGTTGTTTTACTATGGTTACAAAGATCAAAAAATTTCTATATGTGACACGGCACCAGAGTTAAGTCAGGGTTTTTCAAAATGCTGACACGCCGAGCTCAAAAGGTTCGCCATCACTGGTCTATGAGGTCCCAGGAGTGTGCACACTCCCGTCTCTGTCACCTCAGGAGTGTTCACATCTCAATTTCCAGGAACATAAACACAGCCTTCTCGACCTCGAGAGTGTATTCACCTCAGGCTTTATGTCCCTAGTTGTTCTGCCCCCATCTGTGTAACATCCTAAGTATACACATGCAAGTAGCTGTGACAGGAGCAATGTCTAATCTCCATTCTGTGTGACCCAGTGGTGTCTACACTCCCGTATGTGTGTGGTCCAGGAGGGACCAGTCTGGCCCAGGCCGTCTCTGACCTCAGGAGCACCCCTCTCCATCGGCCCAGCCCTGACTGTGACTCAGGAGTGTCCACACCCCTCTGTGGGACTTCAGAACTTCCCATACCAGAGTCAGTTTGCCCACAGAGGTACATATGACCTCAGACCATGTGTCCTCAGTGGAGTGCTTTCGTCTGAGTGGCTCCTGGAGTGTTTCCACCCCAGTCTGTGGTGACAGGAATGACTACTTTCCATTGTGTGTGGCCCCAGGTTGTCCATAACCTAGTCTGTGTCACCCTAAAAGTATACATGCCCCAGTCAGTTTGACCACAGGTTTGTCAATTTTTCAAACTGTATAACAACAATGGGTGTCCATTCCCCAGTCTTTGTAACCTAAGGGGTACCACACCCTAGTCATTCTCAACCCACAGGGGTGTCTACAACACAGTCTCTCCTCCTCCTCCTCCTCCTCCTCTATATAAACATATCCTCAGATGAAGAAAAAAATAAGTACTTTGAAGTGAGAGAACTGTTCTATGTCCTATTTTTGGTGGCAGTTAACCAACTATTTTTGTTTGTCAAGCCTCAGAGA